ACGGATAGTATCCATGGTATACGAACAATCACCTGACCTGATAGTATTCTTATTTATATATATATGGATAGTCCCAATGGAATATGAACAATCACCTGACCTGATAGTATTCTTATTTATATATATATGGATAGTCCCAATGGAATATGAACAATCACCTGACCTGATAGTATTCTTATTTATATATATACGGATAGTCCCCATGCAACATGAACAATCTCCTGACCTGGTAGTATCCTTATTTATATGTATACAGATAGTATCCATGGAATATGAACAATCACCTAACCTGATAGTATTCTTATTTATATATACAGATAGTACCCATGAAATATGAACAATCACCTGACCTTACATGGAACTGTGGGATCACTTGGCTGTTGATACATGGAACTATGAGTTCAAATGGCTGTTGATACATGGAACTGTGAGATCACTTGGCTGTTGATACATGGAACTGTGAGTTCAAATGGCTGTTGATACATGGAACTGTGAGTTCAAATGGCTGTTGATACATGGAACTGTGAGTTCAAATGGCTGTTGATACATGGAACTGTGATATCACTTGGCTGTTGATACATGGAACTGTGAGTTCAAATGGCTGTTGATACATGGAACTGAGAGTTCAAATGGCTGTTGATACATGGAACTGAGAGTTCAAATGGCTGTTGATACATGGAACTGAGAGTTCAAATGGCTGTTGATACATGGAACTGTATCAACATGAAGTTGTATCAACTCTATCTGTGAGTTTAGGTGGTTATCAATACATGGAACTGTGAGTTTAGGTGGTTATTAACACATGAAATTGTGAGTTAAGGTGACTATTGATACATTCTACTATTTTGGTTAGGTGGCCGTTAAAAAATTTTATTGTGAGATCACGTCGGTATTAACACATCACACTGTTAGATCTTTTGGCTGTTAATAAATTGTTATATGTGATCACTTGGTTGTTAATGTATGTAACCCTGAGATTGAATGGCTGTTAATACATGGAACTGTGGGATCACATGGCAGTTAATACATGGATCTGTGGGATCACATGGTTGTTAATGTATGTACCATGAGATTGAATGGTTTTTAATACATGGAACTGTGGGATCACATGGTTGTCAGTGCATGGTACTGTGAGGTCGCATGGCTGTTAATTACTGGTACTATGAAATTGGGTGGCTATTAGCACATGGTACTGTAAGATTGTGTGTTTATATGCATTTACATACATAGGTATCGTAAGGTCATAGCTGTCCGTATATATAAATAAGAATACTACCAACTGTGAGTTCAAATGGCTGTTGATCCATGTATCAACAGCCAAGTGATCTCACAGTTCCATGTATCAACAGCCAAGTGATCTCACAGTTCCATGTATCAACAGCTAAGTGATCTCACAGTTCCATGTATCAACAGCCAAGTGATCTCACAGTTCCATGTGTCAACAGCCAAGTGATCTCACAGTTCCATGTATCAACAGCCAAGTGATCTCACAGTTCCATGTATCAACAGCCAAGTGATCTCACAGTTCCATGTATCAACAGCCAAGTGATCTCACAGTTCCAAGTATCAACAGCCATTTGAACTCACAGTTTCATGTATCAACAGCCAAGTGATCTCAGAGTGCTTTAAGTTAAAAAATAATCTGTGACTTGTTATTACCATAGTAAAGAAACTGTAAACTTAATGAACTTACACTATAAAGATTTTCCTCAAACTCTACAATCAGAACACTTTGGTGTGAAGTTATAGATAAAACTTAGTCATTGCAAAGATGTATTTACTAATTATTTCATTAAATCAAAAATATCTAGGACCTTTTCACTACAGTAAGATTGAAAGAAGTCTTGTTGAACATTCCATTAAACAAGAAAATTTATATTACAAAAATTTAAAAAGTCACTGAGAAATTAATAGTAAAATGGATAAAAACAACAAGTAAATCATGAATAGATAGACATTTTGGTTCAACTTTCACTGCTGTAAAAAATCACGAATAACATTGAAATTATTTTGTATGTATTTTTTATACGAAACGGATATTAAACAATAGTAAATAGAAATAAAAAAAACTTGTGTTAGCTTTCATATTATTTTTTATAGAATTAAAAAAATGTAGATGAACACATAATAAAGGGTTACGAAAACACAGACACAATTATTACTTACGGGTTGCTACTGGAGTCACAAGAGGCATGCGTGGTAGGAGGAAAACACATATAATTAAAATGAAGGAGTTAGTCCACATGCCGTGATCAACATAATTTTAATAAAACACAACAGATTTTAATAAATTACATCACAAAACAACAACTTTCAACAGTCACAGAACATTTTAAGTTAGCATTCCTAGGATCATGCTTTGGAACTCATGCTAAAGCAAGCCATAAAATATCAACACGTTGTTGAAGATTAAAAAGTATTACTCATTACAGATTTCTTACACATAATAAAGTTTTGGGTGGAAGTAAAATGAAGAGATTACTAAGTAAACTGTACTCTTGTAAAGTGTCACAGATATAACTTTCAACCTTAGTTTAATTAAAAAACAAAAAATATATATATATATATATATATATATATAGAGAGAGAGAGAGAGAGAGATAGTA